CATATACAAATCTTTATCAGGTCGCTTGTATTCTCAGTTATTTCGATTATTTTGAGACTGTATGTCATGTTTTTTCAATTCCATTTATATTTGATTATCTTAAACAGATCAGCAACAATTTTCTATCTATTATATTCAGATCTGTAACTCATTTGGAATTGCAGGATAAAATTCCATTTAAACATGAATTTTTCATTCAAGTTACACGAGCTTTTCCATCACTTAAATCTTTATTTATTATTAGTACTCAAACACAACTTTGGAGAATTTACAAATGTCCATTGGTTGAGAACTGTTCATATTCGATTATCAAAGATCCTCATCATATTTTACTTGATATACGTTCTATGAATATTGTTAATGTTGATCAATTTCTAAATGAATTTAAAACACACTTAGTATGTTCAACTGAATTGAAAGTTTCATATGATCAATTCAAAAGTGTGACAAAAAACTTCACAAGAAGTGCAACATGACGAAATTGTGTCAAAGTGAAATGATTAATTGTTGACGACTCAAAAATGCTCTATGAAGATGTTCGTCATTATTTTATTTCATTGTAAATATCTTGTTTTAGTTTTATTTAAATGAAAAGCAACAAATTACATGTTTCATTTTTCAGAAAAATGAAAAATATACTAAATATGGTTTCTTAACGATCGGCCTATATGTAACATAAAACGCTTCGGGTGTGAGTGAACATAAAGGGTAGGACTTCTTTAAACTGAAACCATAACCCATACCCACAGCCCACCCACATCAAAATAAAGTTGAAATAACTGATCAAAGTAAGACCAAAGTATGGCGAATCGATGTATTTGAATTGGTAAATAAAACATAAAGATTTTCCATATACAAGATATAAATAATCCATTAGTCATGCAATCGTCTTCTATTTCTTTCATTCATTGGGATATCAAATGAAAAATGTTGTCTTCATAATCTTCATGCAAAGCTTTCGAATATATTGGAGAAGATAATAATCGACTAAGTCTTGAAGAAAAACATATGTAACAAACCAATTACATTTTTGTAAGAATAAAATCAAGATTCAAATTGAGAAAAACTAAAGAAAGAATTTAACATTCAAATTTAGATTTAAAAAAAAAACACACAAACTGATATCTATTATGATGACTATTAATTATCAGATATTTTCTTTAACCTCAAAGCTTTGATATGATCCTAGGTTAAGAATTTCACAACAAAGAAAAATAGAATAATTAATGATTAATGTTGGGTTTTGCTAGTCAAAGATTATAGTTTGTTTTATTTTTGTTATCGAAATGGTATAATAGGATGCGAAAATCATGTTAACATGATGACATTTATTATCCTTGTTTGAGAAAAAAATTATTAAGAAATTTTTCAGATTTTTCTAAGAATAATTTTAACAACAGTCACAAATTCATATAATCATTTATATATTTAGAGTATTTACATTTTTCTCTTAATAATACTTTATTGTTTCTAAATATGTCTCTCACATTTTCCTATTCAAAAAATCTAAGATCATTACAATGAGATTATTCCTTTATTTCATTTCAAATAAAATAAATTTATTCGACTTTTGTTTTTTCAATTTAATCAACAATATCTCAAGAGTAATTCTCAATAAATAAAATATTAGAATTATACCTGAGATTAGTCATTCATTTCAACTATTCGATCAACATCATCTAATGATAATCGAAATTCTGTTTGTTGAACTAATGAATCAATAGAATTAATATATGATGTACGATTTTGTGAATGAAACATAAAATTACTAATAGCTTCAAGCCATGATATTAAATTAAGAAATCTTTTAACAGCTTGATAATGACCATATTTATAGAGAAGATATTTCCATGTAATTTCTGCATACTTATTTTGAATTTTTAATATATTTATTGGATTGGTCAAATCTTTTGGAATATTTGGATTAAATGAATAAGTATTTTCTGAGAAAGTAAACAATGATATAGCTAATTTCATTAAAATAGTATCTGGATCAAGATATTTCATTGCCATGAGTTGAAGAGTTATTGAATGTTTTCCATATATTTTTTCAATTATATTTGAAAAAATTTCGGAAGAAAATAAATGAAAATGTTCGATAGCAAATACCATTGCCATACAAGATACATTTTCAGCAGCGCTACGAAGTAGAATAGGACGATCATCAGATGATAAATTATAAAAATTATCATTAGAACGAAGATATGTTCCTGTTGTTTCATAGATTGATGCTAGAAATTCTTTTACACGTATTTCGTAAATAGAATTAGAAGATTGTAAAATATCATTTATATCTATCAAACGTTGACCAACTAAGAAAATTGTTGATTCTTTATAATCACTAAATAGATTTGTCAGTAGAGTCCATTGATTTGTAGTCAATAATGATTGATTCGGCTATAAAATATTATATATTAATAACTAAAAAGTTTTGAATTCATGTTTTTCTTTTCTTCTGTATTACAATGAACACTTATATTCAACTTTCAACTGTTTTTATAAGATATAAAAATTCGATATAAGAAACCTGTTTATCATAGATTGATAATCCGTAGGACTAATATTCAATAGTTATATAGATAGTTTTTATTTTTTATTTTTATTCGATCTATTTTTGTAAAAATGAAAAATTATTTTGAATAAGTTTCTATAAAATCATGCTGAAATTTTTTTTTTGTTGAAACATAGAATGATCAAACTGTAATAATTTTTTTAAAGTAATGACAAAAGTTATGATCTAATAATTAACAATTTTAACATGTCTAAATACTTCATTAGTTTTAACTATGGAAACATAATATATTTTATGTATGCGATTGATACAATATATCTCTGCATAATTCTATTTATTTACTATTGTATCTTATATTAGACAAAATAAAACAAGAAAATATGTTTTGTTTTCTTTTTTAGAAAGTTATCAGTGATCAGAGATGTCCATCGCGGCTCAAAATCTGCCGCTGCCGCGACGCGCCTTAAAAATAAACTTGCCGCTACGGCGCCGCTGCCGCGCTGGTATTCGAAAAAATGTTTCGATTTTCAAGGTTTTGACTGGTTTGAAATAGAACTGATGCCGCTAATCGATCAGATTCGCTAAGTCTTACAGTATAGCATACATAAACATGCAGATTCTGTGCAGATTCATGAATTTTTGAAATTTTTTCCTAAAAAGCTGCCGCTGCCGCGACGGCAAAATAAAAATCTCTCCCGCGCCGCGATAGTTTTTGGAAAAAATCTGCCGCTGCCGCGCCGCCACCGCCACGGCGGCAGCGACAGCGCCGCGATGGACATTTCTGTCAGTGATATATCGATTGCTAGAAATGTTTTAGGCATTAAATTAAGCTCAAATTATAGAATTACGTTTTTTGAAAAAATACAATTTGGTTGTCATAGTTTATTTACTAAAAAATTTACCTCTCTCAGTCATATATTTGTTGTACAAGAAAAAAAACATTGGAAAATCGATCTTCTTTGATTTGTTTCAGAATTAACTATAGATCTAACACAAAATAAATAGATGTTAAGTAATTAAAAGTTTCCGAGTACATTTTTCTACATAAGAAGATGGATTTTTGAAATGTTTTAGAAATTCATCATCTCATTTAGAAGAATGTAATTGAAAAATGATAATTATTTAATATCAAGTCATTTGAACAATGACCAATTTTTGAAATGAATTAAAGAAGATCATCTTTACTATTTTTGGTCTAGCATGGCAAATATGTCATTTAGAAAGATGAAAATTTTAGCACATAAAATAATAACAACCGAGTTATATGTTGACTAAAGTTGAAAAACTTTATATTGAAATATATTTTCAAATATTCGAGAAATAAAACCATTTGTTAGATGTATGATCAATTTTGAGTTCCAATGTACGTTACATATCAAGATTTATAGAAAAAAATCATTTAGTTTGGTTAAGAAAAAGAAAGCAACCATTAACTATCTCCCTATGTTCTTACAATTAAGTACAGAAGAAATAGAATTTTCTTTACAAAAATTTCCTCAAGTCATCAGCTGAGTCAAAAGAAAACTATTTTGAATAACTCGAATCAAAAATACGAGAAGATAGACATCATTGACTTCAAAAAGATATTAAAACGTGTTCACATATTCAAACTGTTTTTTAAATAGAAATAAATTTCCACTGAAAAAAAAAAAGAAATCAAGTTGAAGTTAAAGAATCTTACTTGTCCTGGTTGATGTGGCACTTTTACTTGAACTAAATTATTTGTTTTATTTTTATGATAACTTGTTTTGGTTATGTTTGATCTTGATGCTCGAAATTTATCTGTATCCATTCTGTTAGGCTCTCGTTTGGAGGGAAAGGTGACTTCTGCCCCAGACTATAGCTCAGGGCGGAATACTATGTCAAAAACCCAGGTCTGCTCTGGGAACGAGAACACAAACGTGAAATAATAGAAAAGACTTACCTAGTCTTGATATAATGAATGAGGATGTAGATAGGGATGTATGAGGTTTTATTCACAATAAAACCAAAAAGACAATATAATAATGATGATGGGGATGAAAGACATAAAGAGGAAAACAATAACAAGATCAATAACAAGATCAACAAGAAGGAAGATGGAATAGGGAATGAATCATGTGAGAAAAGGAAAAAGAATAAACACTGGATCGTCCATGGAAGATATATATATGTATATATATCTATATATAGAGGAAAGGAAAAGACCCATAGTGTACAACTGGACGTTAGCGGTAATAGAGGGACCTCTATTGACGCTAACACATTCCAGTTTCAAAACATTTATTAAGTCGACATGCTGTACATATATGACGATTATTTATGTTAATGTCACATTTATCATCATAACGACAAATAAGTTTTCCCTACAAAGAATTATAAAGAAAATTAAATGAGATTAAAAGATGTAACTGACTTGTCTAACGTTGGCATTTCGTTTGAAAAACATTTTGCATGAATTACATGATGTAACACCGAAGTTAGAATGTTCAGCGGGAACTCCACATATTCGACATACAGACAGAGACGTCTTTGATTTTTGATTTCCAATCATTAAAGGTTGATCTTTTATCTTATCAGATGAGGATATATTTGTTGTTAACATGAAAAATATAATACTGAGTTGAAATTAACACCTTTTTTTATTTACATAAAAGAAAAGGTTATCACGGTCATATTTTCGTTGTGTTCTCTTTAATGGAGAACATTTTTCTTTCTATACGCTCTAATCCATAGCACGTGTTTCTCGACATATTTATTTGCTTTACAAGAAGAAATAAAAGAGTCTTCTATTTTTTCTTTATCTGTTTATTCTCTTTCTTGAATTTGAGCACACAGCCATTAAAGTTTCTTTTAGTCATAAAATAATTCTACAACTTCAAATAGAATCATTTTTTCAAAAAAAAAAAATAATAATACTAAAACAAGATTTGAAAAGAATGAAAACTAAAAAAACACCATGGTGTACTGTCTCTCAGAAAAAAGTCGTTCCGTTCGACCTATCAATAGCAGATGTACTTCTCACCAGCGACGCGTATAGATTAATATCAGGCAATGGAAATTTTGAAAGAATTCTGATTTATCTGAGATTAGCGTGAGATAAGAAACAAATTAAGACTACTCTTGTTTGGGGGAACTGTTTTTTATCCTAAATAACCATCAAGGAAAAGGTTGTTACCGTGGTGATGAAAAGGACTATGATGGATAATGACAGAACGTTTGGGATAGGTGTGGGTATCAGAATAAACCACAGCCACACTCACACCCACACTCTCAAGAAATGAGTTGGAAGAAAAGATAACATTATTGAACGAATACATCTATTCTGAATAGAGGACATTCTTTTAATCGTTCAATAATATTATCTTTTCTTCCAACTCATTTCTTGTATCGTCTGTCTTTATGTTATTTATATGAATAGTGTTCTCATTCTGTACTTGTACCAAATGATCACTAGAATCGAAGTATTACCTAATGAAATTCTTTTGTGTATATTTTCTTATTTTGAATGGTTTGACATGTTAACATGTTTATGGTCATTGAATATTCGATTTAATTCTCTTATATGTTCAGTTCTTTCAATAAATAACAATTTAATGAATAGTGGTCTTGCTATTTAAACGTGCTTTATCTTATAATAAATGTTGTTCAATATTATTTCTATTGATTTTGAATTCTTCATCTCTTTCTTCTTCTATTCGACGTATTCATTTAGATGGAAATAATTCATCTGCTTATGATCTTTGTTATGAATGGTTATTTAATGATAAAAATATACTTCATTTTACTAATCTTAAATCACTTGTTCTTACTCAATGTGGATAAATTAGATCAATAGTTCAAAGTTTATTATATCTTATTCAACACCAATTAGATAACCTTACATTAACATTTGACAATAGAGTGTTGTATGAAATGCTTTATGTCAAAAGAAAAACAGTTAGAGTTTCTGATATAGATAATCAATCATTTATTTAATAAAATAGATTCTTTATAGAAGTTCAAATTGATTTGTCATTTCTTATAAAAAGAAAAAAAAAAGCTTTTTTGATTTTTTATTGTCTTTATGATCGATCTATGCATTGTAAAAATAAAACTTTACGTATATCTATAATTAGATATTGAGATATTTTTTGGAAAATGCTAATCTTCAAATTAAAAATTAAAAATCGATTTTATTCATTCTCACAAAAGAAAATTTTTCTAAAGTAATAAATCATTTTTTAAGATGAAATGTATCTCGTTGAGGAAAAACCTATTGAAATAAAACAAAATCTAAACTGACTCATACTTATTATGTCTGATTCTTCAGTTATCACTTGAAATGTTCAGTAGCAAAATTTCCAGGCATATTGTGTCACCGGAGAAAAGCTCAAACTATGAGAAAAATGTAAATAAAGAATGTAGTTAAATATCTTGTCGTTTTGATCGGTAGCTATCTTATTAATCGTAGAATGAATATTTAAGTATTGATTGACATTCACTGTATATAGAAATTCTGATATAATTATCAAAAATTTCAAACAAATTCTATTAAGAAATAAATTTGAATTTTAATAATAAAAAATCTCGTTGTTTTTTATTTTATTTTATTTTGAAGAAATAGTAGAAAAACAAATGATTATGTTTAAACAATTTTTTTATAAATTATTTTCTGATCAATGTCAATTATCATCTCTTCAGCTTGATATTAGTAGTGACTGTAGAATTGATGGCATTCATCAATATTTAAAAGCAAATTCTTATGTCTCTTCGAAATTTTTTCAATATCAATATCAACATCAATATTTCTTTTAATTAATTAAAATAATAAAATCTTTTTGTAGATACCAAAACTACAGGATTTTAGTTTAAAAACTTTCATTTAAGATGATTTTGACTTTATCTATTTGAAATAGCTTCTTAACAACTTAAATTATATTGAAAAACTTAAAGTTCATATTAAAAATGATAAACTAACTGAAACAAGATGTCAAAATATATGGAAATGTTTGATTGATGCAAATTTAATTCATCAATATTGTTTATCTGATATAAAACATAATTTAATTTATTTCAATTTTTATATTTGTTCGGAATATCAATTATCATTAAATGATATCTCGAAAATAATAAATTCATTTAAAATTCATTCTTTTTTTATTGAACATCAATGGACAAATGTCATGTCTACATCTTTTTTCTTCTTTTACTAATACATTTCAATCTTCTAATTGTTTGATGTCAGTTATTATTTATTAGAAAAATCTCAAAGAACTTCTTAGCTAAATGAAAGTTTTTTTTTGTTTTTTCTTTTAATAATTATTCAAATATTTTCAATTGGTCAGCTTTCGACTATCAACGGTTTAGTTTACATTCATCAATTCATTTTTTTTTAGAACAATTTAATGAATTATATTCGAATATTTCTTATATCAACATATATAAACGTAAATTATTTTGTCATCAAAATAATTTTTTAAATAAATAAAAGAGTAAAGAGATAACAACAATGGGTGTATGTATAGATTTTCATAAGATACTTATAAAACAAATCAAGAGAAAACAAATATTTTTATCGAAACAACAATTATAGAATGAAAGACATTTGTTTATGAATATTTATCTCTCTTGTATTCAACTCATTCTAATAGAAAAATAGTTAAATTATATTTAAAATAAATAAGAATATATTTGTTTTCTAGAATGTATCAATGATTTTCAAAAATCTGATTTTGAAATGTCATTAGAAATTTTATCAAAGATGAGACTAAACAAGAAAATTGATATTCCTTTTCGAAATGTTACAAAAATTCAATTTGGAACGCCTTTTGATCAGAAATTTAGTTAGTACTAAATTTTTATTTTTTTATCTTTGTGTAGATTTGAAACAAAAAACAACGCTTATGTATCATTTATATACTGGGTATGCCAAAAGTTTTGTGACATTCTTTATTTTGCTTGTATCTCGATTTGACAAAATAATAAAATCTTGATCTTTTCGTTTAAAAGATACAGCATGAAAAGTTATACAAAAATATATAAGAAAATATTTATTTACTGGTTTGGACGGTTTTCTTGTTGTCATTGTTAACAATTTATATGATGAAAATATATATTCTATCATTTTTGAAAGATAGAAGATTTTCAAAACAAAAATGAAATACAGCATAAAATCGAACCGACAATTTTGCACTTTTCGGTTTTGAGAGACCTTTTCATGGTGCGTCTTTTAAAGAAAGAATTAGCTGTATATCATTTTCTATAGTCAAAATATATAAAAAAACAGAAAAAAGACTTTCAAGCATTTTTATTATGCTGACAAATTGCAGTACCATATAGAATGTTAATAATGACAAGGAAAAAATCGTTCGAATCAGTCAATAAAGATGTTCTTATGGATTTTTTTTACAACTTTTCATGCTGTATCTTTTAAAAGAAAGATTAAGATTTTATCATTTTCTCAAGTCTAAATGCAAGCAAAAGAAAGAGTGTCGTAAAACTTTTAGCATACCTCATATAGCTTGAAGAAACTTTTATCGCACGTGTTTTTTTAGTTGCAAACGTTAATTAGAGTTATTTCATCTCTGGTAATTTTTATGAAATGAATTTTTTAAATTTTCGTTTTGTATTATACACGAACATATTTCATAATTACAATAAACATTTAAATGTTAATTTAGCAATCACTACTTTATGTAGAGAAGAATTTTTGCAGTTGCAGATATAAGATTTCGCAAGAAAAACAATTGAATGATATAGAATTTAGTGAAAAATATCAAAGTTCTATATTCAAATTCCACTCACTGTCTAAATACGAAGTGTTTCGAAAAACATAATCACTTTATAGATCCCATGTAAACACCAGACGCAAAATATACGCGTCTAATCGCAGTTTGTTTGTAAACCGCGTTCAGACGCAGTAAAAATCGATTTCTACTGCGCCCGAACGCGTGGTCATTTAGCACCGCGTCTATACGCAGCTGAAAGATTTTTTGAAATGCGTTTGAACGCGAGTGTAAATGAAAACGCTTTCAGACGCGGTTACAATTGGCTTTCGCCGCGTTTGAACGCGCTTTCATTTAACACCGCGTCTATACGCAGCTGAAAAGGTTTTTTGAAACGCGTTTCGACGCGAATGTAAATGAAATCGCGTTTATACGCAGCTGAAAAAGTTTTTTGAAATGCGTTTCGACGCGAGTGTAAATGAAAATGCGTTCAGACGCGGTTACAAATGGTTTTTACCGCGTTTGAACGCGCTTTCATTTAGCATTGCGTCTATACGCAGCTGAAAAGTGTTTTGAAACGCGTTTCGACGCGAATGTAAATGAAGTCGCGTTCAGACGCGGATAGAAGTCGATTTCTATCCGCGTCTGAACGCAATTGCATCTAAAAAGCATCCAGGTGTGGTCGTAAGAGATTTTGAACGGTGACTGGAAGTGGTTTTCTATGAGACTTCATGCAAATGCGTTGGATAAAGAAATTTTCCAACGCGTCTGAATGCCGTTTGAGATAAAATGCACCTATATGTGTTTATATGAAGTTATGAGCCACAGCCGAACGCATTTTTCTGTAGAACCTCGATTGTACGTGAGAAATAAAAACTGTATAGACAGATCTGAACGCAATTTCATATGAAACCGCGTCCGTACGCGATTAGCCAAAAGCTGTTTAAAGGAAGTCGTACAATTTCATTTTCTGCACTCTAATGAAATTCAACAAGAATTGGAAGATATTATTAGTTTAAAAATTAAGGTGTTTCATGTATAAGAGAAAGGCTTTATAGTAGCTCAATAACTTTTTTAAAAACTTTATTTTTTTTAATGTATCAAGAAAGTTATGCGAGTGATCCCTATTATAATGAAACTAACTGTCTACTCAGTGCTATTTCTATTAATCGATAGCTTGCTTTCAAAATAATTGATAAATATCAACTACTTCTGCTGTTTTGTTTTGTTTTCCACCCTCCTGCGTACTATAAAGTTATTCCAGCTCACTTGAGTGATATTTTCAAATATATATCTAGTGAAAAATATCGCATATTTCCATTCATTTAACTAACCTAGATAACTTTCGAAATGAGAAGTTGAATAATTGTAAACAAAAAAGATAGCTCTGATTGAGTCAGTGAAATGCATACATGAATGGACTAACATGGCATCTTGTCGAGCATCTTAAATCCATGGAAATTGATAAATAAACTGACTTATTAAAATCTTGACTTGTGATAATTGTTCAGTAATAATGGTTTTTCATTCTCAAAGGTGTGCTGCAATAGCAAATAATAAAAATGTCGACAATACTTCTCTCGTAAATACATGCACAGTGATGAAAACCCAAGTAAAATAAGAAGCCTTAACTCATGTGCTTTAAACTGATAATATTTTAAAATTGTACTTGCTATTCGGTATGTTGTCAACGAAAATTTTTACGCAGATAGAGAGATATTCATAGGTTCAAGTTTTGATTTTAACGACCACAATTGATGATGATGTTCTACATCAAACCATAGATGAAGTCCGCTTTAAAATACGAAAGATATAATTTGTTTTCTGTTTTTGATTAAAAAAATTTTTTTCAAGTTTAAATTATAAATTGTGTACTCGATTTGAGCTTTGTTCTAAGGATAACATATAGTTTATCATTCAATAATTATACTTGTAGTGCTTAAATGCTGTGCTTCTACAAGTAATTAACTGTTTTTGTGGAAGGTATAGTGTTCAATTTATTCCGAATCGTGTACGGCCTTTTCATTTTATTTTGCTACGGAAGGAAGATACACAAGGAAATACTCAAACCCAAAAAGAAAATCTAATAGGCAAATCTCTTTTCTATATTTCCTAGGTATACACATCATCTCTATATTTTCTATCGGGTGTACATAAGAAACAAACTTGCAAAATCTGCACGAAGTGCTCTAACAACTTATATAAATTTTCGAAAAAGAATCATAGAAGACACTTTAGAAATTAAAAAGCATATTTGTATATTAGCGTGATTGAAAAAGAACTTTGCTGAACGCTTTTATTGCATAACAAAAAAGAAAGGCGAAAACAGTACATGACATTTGATAAAATGTAATACCTATATAATAAGTGATAAAAGATAAGCAGCATTTAATATTATAAATTATAGACTAATAATACTAAATAAATGAAAACTATTTCCAAAACAGTTTGCAAAAGATTTTAAAAAAATTTTAAAACATATACAATTTATTTTATGCAAGTTTATCTTCACACAAGAATATAAATAATAGCAAATAGAATACATTTTATACAGAAACGTTCTATGGATAAATGCATTTGTACATAAGATAGATATGAAGTCACGATCCATATAGACTTTCTGTTTCATTCGACAGTGATTGTGGTCACATGTGACTTAATGGTACGTATACTTGATTCTAAATCGCTAGTTCACTTGTTCTAATCTCATTTCTATCATTTTAGATAAATCAACATTTCAACATTCCGTTGGCCTATAGTGAGGCAAAGACCATCGTTAGAGGATATCGATGGCGCCTCAGATCAAACCTGAGACGGATTGTAATATTTTTTAAAAATTTTAAGTACTGAATCGAACGCGTCTAGACGCGATTCAATTTATAATCGCGTCTAACCGCAACTTGGTTTGGAACCGCGTCCCCAGTGAAACATTTCCTGCGTCTGAACGCGATTGGAGAAAATTGCGTCTAGATGCGATTCAGTTTAGAACCGCGTCTCCAGTGAAACATTTCTTGCGTCTAGACGCGACTTTTTCCAACCGCGTTTAGACGCGATTTTCTTCAACCGCGTCTAGACGCAGCAAATGTTTCACTGGAGACGCGTTTTTGTGCGTTTCTCTGCTGTATTTTACACGCAACAAAACGCAACTCAGACGCGTTTTTATCGAAAAAAAATTTACATGGGATATATCTAGTTCCACTACTGATTAAGTTTTATTTAAAATTTTCAGATTGAAAGAGAATAAAGACTGGTAAAATTTTACTTTTAAAGAGTAAGTTTATCATCAATCAAGAAAAGGAAGCCGTTTCGACTAAAAGACAAATATATATAAGATTTTCTATTAAAATTTAAATTAAGATCAACCATTTTCTCTCGATATTTTGATCGAATTTGAATAATTGTGTTGGATCGATCGATCTTTTATGATTATTACTTAAAATATAAATCTTTTTATTTTAGTCAATACCACGATATCAAAAAATCGAAATGAAATACATGAAAAAGTGCTTGCTCATCTGATTTCAATGACTGTTCAACTTAAATATCTTCTGGTTGAACGATTTGAATGGCTTTTACATGTTGTTCAATACGTAAGAAATTACTTTTTTGGTAAATTCAGTGTATAGTTACGAATATAATATTTCCATTTATACATAATTGATTTAAATAGATTTAAATGAATGAATATGATATAATGATCAAATCTTTATTCAAATAATGTGTAAGGATTTTAGAGAGAATTAAAAACAAAAAAATATCATCATCAACTGGCAATCGTCCTTATATATCTACTATGGTCACAAATTATTTATTACACAAAACACGATAAACTTTGTTTTCTATATCATTTTATATAATTTAGTTTGATTTGTGACATTAATTCTAATAAGTTAGTATTTCGTTTCTATTTAGGCATCTAACGAACTGAGAACGAATGCATTAAGTACTGTTCAATATACTGAATTCAGACTTCCAAGTTGTAATTACAGTGATAACAATGTGGTTTCTGTTGGTAAACATCTTGTGCCTTTTCTTAGCACGTATATGCCTCATTTACAAACATTACGTCTTTGGCGACCTGATGATTTTCCATGGACAACTCGTAAGTTTATTTTAAACAAACAAAATCAATTATCATAAGATCTGTCTCCTATAAGATTATAATAAAGATCATATTATTGTAATTTCCTTAAATATGAATTTTATGTTTTCTTTTATTAATCAAAAAAATGTTGTTATAATGATACAAGGTTGAACATGAAAGAAAACTTTCTCTTGTTTTTGTTTTTTTGCATCAATTCTATGTAAGCTGTTCATCTTGTTCTACTAAACAAGATTTATATTTATGTAACATAGATTCGATATTCGAGATGTAGGATTGAATGCTTTGAAAACCTTTATTTCATCTTCAAATTCTTTAAACAACAAATAAAAATAAAATAATTATGAAATAATTGAACAATCATTAGTGATTCAAATGATTTGAATTGTAGAAGTTTTTTCACCAATATTTCTCTAATTTAATTGTATCAATAACTTCGATATCGATTTTAAGTTTAGAAAGAAAAAAAATATAGACAAATATATTCTTATTCATTTAATAATATATGTCATCTTTGTGCGTTTTCATAGAAAAAAAGAAAAATAGAGCATTCAGGAAAATTTTATTTTAGAGTATCAACTAAATTTATAATGTTCTTAGAGTTATCTAATCAAAAATCAAATGATTAGCAGAAAATGATAGAAATGATGATCTCATTCACAAAATCTTTCTTTCTCTGTCGAATTAAGCAAATAACTACGTAAAACAATCACTTTAGAAGAATCTGGGAAGAGTCTTGATAGATTGATAAAATTGTTGTAGAGAGACCTTATGAAGGAAGTCCCAAAACAACAAGTTCTTTTCTTATACATCTATTTCAAACACTCAGTTTTCTTTTTTTAAAACTATGCATAAAATAATTCACATGTAAATCGATTTTTTACAAAAAAGAAAATAATTCAGCAATAAAAATGACTTGTATAAATGATTTATTTTTTAAAAAAGAATGACAAATGAAGAAGATCTTTTACAGCAATCTTTTAGATTTGATAAAGAAGAAAATTATTTTTAATATCATCTCTGATGTATTTTACAAATTGATATTGTTTTACTGTCTTTTTCTTTATTTAAGTTCGACCACATTTAAACATGTATCTTTATAGATATTTACTTCAACCTTGGCTAAAGTCTCTAAAAACACGCGAATCTATTGGTATATACATAGAAATACAACGCTTTGATACGAGAAAATACACTTATAATATAATTCTTTTTTTAGCTCAACATGTGACTATATTTGAGCAAGATCTTTCTCAATTGGTCAAAAACTTAAAAGAATTTACTTTTCTCGATATTTTTGGTGAAATTCATCACGAAAAAGTTGAATCTTATCGTTTAATGACTCAATCTCTCTTTCCTCCTAGTCGAGTAGATGTTGAAATATCAAGATTTCGTTTGTGAATTTAATTTTTTGTTTGTTGTATATAAGAGATATGTATTAAAGACAATTATCATATAATTGATAACTTATTTTCTGTTCTGTTTCTTTCTTTTTTATTTCTTAACTGTTCAATAATTGTATTTGATAATAAAACTATGAACATTATCTCTCAAATAAAATCTTATTCTTTATCATAGAATCCATTATAAACGAAAGCAAAATGAACTTTGTACTAATCTATTTTATACATATTCAACAGCTTCTAATAGTTTTCCTTACTGTTCATAACCATCATCATTCTAGAGAAATTGTGGAAAAAAATAAGGTTTCTATATGCGACAAACACATTTTAATGTATTAAAAGATATTTCCTGTTTTTGAGAGAAACTTGTTTGAACATTCTCTTGTTTTCAAATACAATTTTTCTCCTTAGATTTATGAAAACATTTTAGTGTTTTAGAATTGAACTCGAAAATTCAATCGTTCTAACTAGAAATTCTATGAATAACTCTCAAAATCTAATGTAGTTTGACTTTTTATCGAATCAATATTCTACTTGATTCGACAAACATGGCTTAAATTGAGTACATAATTCAGGTATCTATATGGCAGTCGCTCCTTATTAGTTTTCGCATCTATAATGTCTATTCAACTTTAAAGAGAGATTTTATTATTTAAACATGTTAATATTAAACATTAAAATTAAACTCATTTTTACACATTCAATCTTTGTCATGACTCGTCATTTCAGCCGTTAATTAATGTTGAATAAGTCATCTGCTATATTTGCTGTAAAAAATCCTTTTGTGGTAACAAAAATTCATTTGTAGCTTTTTTGAACTGTTTGACGCATTCGATGATAACTATGAATAATACTTGTCAATTCCATATGATCACATCCATATGTTACTGCTATTTCAGTCATCTAAAATACTTGACATTAAAAAGAACTTCTTATGAGTGTGGGTGTATGGATATCTTCAATCACATCCATACCCACACTTATTCGAACTCTATCGCTTTTCCACGAGAAGAAAATCGTCCTAAATAAAGCACGTGCGACTTCATGAAGCAAGGAGCTTATCCAGATAATTCTTTCTCAAAAAAAAGCCAAGTATGATTATCTGCTATTTTTGCAAAATAGATCGACACGAGCGTTCAAGGTCTTGCTGATAAATTTATCGGGATAACTCTATGGGAAGAGTCTGAAAATAGATGGGTGAATTTTCAATGACTACGTTCAAGTCTTTTTCACAATTTCACATGCTTTCATCTTTTGTGCAATGCATAGCTTTGACTCTTAAAGGTCAACTCTGATGGAAATGACAGTACGTGTAGAAGCGATCACACTCAGTTGAATGAGATTTGAAAGAGCTTGATTGATTCAAAGATCACGGAAAACAATTACGAATGTGAACGATTGATGAATTTAACTAAAAAATACACGAAAATGAATCCACACGATATCTGAGTACATAAATTTCCCCTAGAAAGTATCAAACTATGCCATTTCATGTTTGAGATAATGCAGCAGCCCACTCTCAAGTTGTCAACTTAGATAAAAAAACTAAAAGGAGACCTTCAACTGTTAAAGGTCGGTGTTTTTGTGAAATCTGTCTCAAGTGCCCAATAGCTCTGATAAAGCAAAACTCTGTGTTATAAAGAATCCAGTTGAATCTATTTGTCCTCTCCTCTGGAATAGACGTGACTCGCGAAATCCCTAAAATTTTTTCTTAATATAATGTGAGTATAGATTTATTAATAATACCATGTTTTCTTATATATAAAGTGAGCAAAAATAAGTTATTCATATTAATGTGATGTTTTTGTTCAAAATGATACATCAGATGAGTAATGTTTTGCGATAGACAGCATTCTAGCTCATGCAATCCCTTGTTAGTCCATATAAATAGGTCATTTATTATTAAGATAGTTTCTCTGTTCTGATATTAATAAGTATATTGTACCATCACCAATAAAAAAAGAGCCAAACAATGAAAAGAACGGCAGCAACACAAACAAGTATGCATAGCCATCCTAACTTGATCAGTTCGTCGATCATTTCTAACATCTGCTTTTGGTCGTTAATATATGGGAAGGGTTTATCTTCAGGCACTGGAACATTCAAAAAATTGCAGAGTGGCTTCCAGCCTTGTTGAGTACGACAGACGAGAAGTTGTTCAGCAGGTATATGTTCGATAACACGAGCATTGTGGTGTTCAAAAACTTGAATAACGCGTTGCAGGTCCGAGAGTTTGCCGTCGAATACAAAGTTCTTTATTGTTTGTATCTCGAAAGCTTTCGTACCAGGAATGAGAGTCGCGCACGGTCAAAATAAATTTGACGTTTGGATAGTATTCGAGCAAATCATGGTAAAAAATACCGCTCGGAAAGTCAACTGTGGCCTCATAGCCAACAAAACTTTCCTCGAATATTTGTCTACGATTTTCCTTGTTATCTAACACGCGTAGTCAGAGAGAAGCGTGAGATGGATGCTTGTATACCTCGAACATATGGTAACAGTGAAAGCCGAGCCGATCAAGGACTCTCTTCAGATTTGACATTCTCGTACGTGAAAAACCAACCCCAATTACTTTGAGACCACCCATATGAACTACTACTCGTTACAATTGAGCGTGCGACGATGATTAACCGTGGAAAATTGCACAGACGATTACAAAGAAAAAGAATGAAAGGTAGTGTATGTATTGACAAACCGAGAGGCGTATATGTTTGTGCACTTCGAAAGCATTTTGATTGTCAAGTTGTCAAAATGTCGATGAGAAAAACATTGAAAGTGATAATGTCGAATCAAGACTACCGAAAGATGAAAAAGTCGGAAGGAAAATATCAATTGTAATTAATTCGAAGAGGTCGAATGCTGACAGCAAGAAGGTCGACAGATGAATTCGTCACAGTTGAATGCAGCAAAGAGATGCACTCATGAGGGAACATTCCCAGGTGTTGGAGCGCTTTTCAGTCGGCACTTAGT